TTTAATAATAAAATCAGTTCTATAATATCATCCCTAAGACTAGAGCGACGATCAGAAAGTATAAGTGTCGCCTTAATAAATAATCTCTCAACACTAGCACTTGAGAGCAAAGCAATATTTAATTTTAGCATATTTTTAATTTAAAAAAATTATTTTGAGTATTTTTAGATTTAAAAAACGCGTCTAGGAAATTTTCTATTATATTAGTACCCTTTATTTCAAACTAAATTATCAGTGAAAGTCGTTTATAACTAGGAAATCTTTGTTTAGTATGAGATTATTAGCATTATCAAGAGCCTATCACGTTATCTTTAGAATCATTGGAATGGCCAGTTTAGTATAAAATTAGGATGAATCATGGCAGCTAATACATTATCATCATTGTATATGTTGGGGAATCTAATAGTTACAAACATAATGTATTTAAAATATATCTTAATCATAAAATTTTATAAATCTTCTGGCTTTGAACTTTAAGTTAAAATAAAATATTATCAAAATAATTATATATCATCTTAGATTTCTACCTATATAATATTGAATCCAAAATAAATTAAACCAACTTACATTATGTATCAGTCATAATTACATTTATTTTTTGCTGTAAAAATAATATTTCCATAATATAGTAAATAAATTTTATTTACCTTCTCTCAATGCCTTTTAACATAATCTGCTAGGAGCTGGCACAAGTTTAGATTATATTTTCTTCCAGGGTACCTTCCATTTCATTAATATTATGATTGCCAGACTCACATCGATTTGGATATCAATTTGTGATGATATTTTAAATAATTTACACCATATGATTTAGGTTTATAATACAAAATGAAAATATAAATTTCAAATATTAAATAATAAAAATTATGATATTATATATAAATTTTCATGTTTACTTTTAAGGCTGAAGTGGAGGAGCGCCCCTCCACCGTTCTTTTAAATTTACTGCATAAATCACATTATTTTTTAAATATTAATAAATCTATTTATTAATTAAAATTCAATAAAAATAAAATTTCATTTTATTTAAATTTATGCAATATTAAATGTTTAGCCGTTTATATTGGTTTTTGATCTAAATCAGTTAAAATATTAAACATTAAAAATTTTTTAAAAAATCTTGCAAGTCATATTAAAATTCATTTTATAGATATGATAAAAAAATAGTTTTTGATATTATGGATCCAGACATCATAGAAAAAACCGAAATACAAAATAAATTTTCTATTTAAATGACTTTATTGCAGATTTTCAAATGTTTATAATGATGAAAATATCATTGCTGTTATTATCTATCCTGTATTCAAATTAAATTAAGAATGGATAAAATGTGCACAAAATATGGAAATAAAATACAAATTAATAAATTTTTAAGAAAACAAATACTGATGCAAAAATAGCTACTATTCCACGGGAATCCTGTAATGATTTGTAAGATAATATATTGGACAAATATTTTTTAAATAATAATATCAAAATTACCATTTTTGATAAATTTCCTGAATTAAAAAATATTTTTATATAATACAATACCCCTCTTCCCACTAGTGCTCCTGATGAGCGCCTTTTTAGTAATGCTAAACAGGTTTTAGGGAAGAAGCATGGATGTTTGTTAAATTCAAATTTAAAAAATTTATTACTTCTAAAAGCTAATAAAAGATTAGAAATATTTTGATATATCATTTAATATAAATAAAACATTTTTAATAAAAAAATATGATTTTGTTTCGAAAAAATGAAAATCAAAGGAGCGGCCATGGAGTGGCACTCCATTACTTGGAGCGGGAGCTAGCTCCTTTTGAGAAAGTATGAGCGGGAGTTAGCTACTTTTAAAAAAGAGCGTTAACAACTCTGCCTTTATTAGATTAAAGAGGGGTCAATTAAAAAATATAAATTAAACGTAAATAATAAAAATCAGGCCAGACCTGAAAAAGTAAATTTATAAAAAGTCATGATAAACTTGGAAATGTAGGTTATTAAAAGCATGCCAGGCCTGATAATGTAAGTTTTTTAAAAGTGTAATTTTTATTTCCATAATGTATTTTGAACTTATTTTTACTATAAAATATATCAGGATTAATAAACATCATTTTTTCGCTTTATAGGAATTAATCAAAATAATTTGTGATAGTTTTCAAAGACTGAGTGATAATTAATTATATTCTAGCTTCCTAAATCCTGGTCCTTTGGTTTAATTTCCATTCAAAATAGTAGTACTGTTTAAAATCGTTACATTTTTAAATAACTAGTTATAATATAGTTACACTATCTCAAAACTAGTAATAGCTAAGTTTCAAAAGTAACTATCTACATTGCAAGTTACTTTGTAATAATTTATATAATCCACCATTTTTAATATAATTTTTTATACAAAATTTTTACAAATTAATTAAAGGAATTAAGAAAATATTATTTAATTAAAGAAATAATTGCACCGAAAGAATACACCACATAGTTATTTGTAGGTAAAAATATAAAATGATATATTTTCGAAAAAAGTATATATATATAAGGGATTCAAAGATAGCCGTTAAAAATTTGCCACCCGAAACTCTAAAAATGAGTGTGAACTGGTATGAAATTTTTTAATATCTTAACTCCTTTAAAGTAAACAGTTTTGATTGACTAATAAGTATTAATAATTATTTTATATATTGCTATCTGATAGTGCCAGCTACCAAATTTAGCAGAAGTGTTTTTAGTCATAAAATTTATTATTCATCCTTATACACTGTTCCAATTGAACTGATACCGTTACAGCAATTAAATCTGTTAATTCTAAAAATAATTTAATAAAATTTTATATATTGAGAGAAAGATAAATTATTTGTGTTTTCTGCAAATTCTATCAACAGGGTCCAAAGTCATGCACATTTAAAGTTGGACTAACAAAATCGAACTTTCCAACATGTAAAAATCATTTTTATTAACTTTTCAGTTCGAAAAAAAACATCAAATTTTATAATTATTTTTGGTCAAATGTTGTACCAGCAATCGATTATTGCAACTTTCTTTTTTTCCATTAAAACTGCAAAAACAGCTTTTTTAGATTAAATGTACTAACCCCTGAAGGTATTTTCGTAAAAGTTGTTCAGTAAGTACAAGACGAGCAATCTCATTTGCTCCGTTAGGTCCTAGGTTTTTTTAAAAAACCTTTCAACTGTAGCTCTTTGTAAATAATCCGATGCAATGTAGTTTGTGAAATAGCACTTTCGGAGATACTTGAAGAAATATTCTGTGGGTGCCAAGTTAGTCTTCTTGAGTCGATGAGGGTGTTTTAACAGAAACTACGTTGTGGTCCACCACCACACCGGTTTTCTGATGATCCTGTAGCATCAATTTTTCCAATCAATCGCTTCAAGTTTGAGATAAGCCAGTTTCTGCATTAAACTGTTAAAATAAATACTCAATTTTTAATGAATATTTTAAAGTACAAGTGGTATAATTGATATGATACTAAATGCATTATAACTATTCCATTTTTGCATTTGATTCCTGGAAGGATCAATATTTTAAAGTACAAGTGGTATAATTGATATGATACTAAATGCATTATAACTATTCCGTTTTTGCATTTGATTCCTGGAAGATCAATATTTTAAAGTACAAGTGGTATAATTAATATGATACTAAATGCATTATAACTATTCCGTTTTTGCATTTGATTCCTGGAAGGATCAATTTTTAGAGACCTCTTTTTTTGAAAATAATCACACAATAATTTAGCAAATGGTTAGAGAGATGGTAATTAGCAGAGTTGTTAAAGAATCTAGATACAAGTATCTAGATCCTGTATCTAGATATAAAAATGTGGTATCTGTATCTAGATAGATTTTTGATTAAAATATCTGTATCTTTATTTTAGACGATGTATCTGTATCTAGATCCATTTAAAAGGTATCTTTTAACAACTCTGGTAATTAGCCACTACGGATACAGGATTAGGGTTATACATATTTTAAATGGATTTATTAATAGTCAATTTTTTATGAATATTTTAAAGCATCTTAGTGGTTTAATGGCTTAGTGATAGGTTAATACACCTGAGCTATTCCATATGTACGCGTTTTATTTCTGGTAGGTTTTATTTTTTAGAACCTCTTTTCTGCAGAAAATTAGTGCTAGCAGTTAGCCAAAAGTGAGATATAGCAGAAATCCAACAGATACAGGGGTTAATATATTATAAATGGGTTTTATAAAATTTAGTAATAAATTGTGCATGAAAGTGGGGTCAGGGTTAATATATAATATACAAAAAAATTATTTATAAAAATATAGTTATTGTTTAGTAAATTTAATATATTATAATATATAGAAAACTAAGATTTGTACAAGATTATATAAATTTATGACTTCAAGTATTTGATTTTAATAGATTTCTAATATAATAAATTAACAATATTTTCTAAAAAAATTCCCAAAAATATTTAAAATATATTGGGATATTTATGTCTATATATTAGAGATCTGCAAAATTAGCTCTGGCCCAAATGGTCAGGCCAGGCCTATATTTTTTAAAAAATTGGGTTCAGGATGGGTCAGGCCTTATATTTTTTAAAAAAATTTAGGCCAGGTTGGGTTTGGCCTTGGAATATTTTTAAATATATATAAATTTATCAATTTTATGTTGATTTTTTTAAGTAAAATAAAAATATTTAATTTTATTTATAGAAACTAAACACCATATGACATATATCTTTTATTTTGGGTATAATAATTTTTAAAAAATATAAATTATAATTTGAAAAAACTAATTTCTATATTTAAATAAATTAGGGCCAAACTGGCAAATTTTTTTTTAAAAAATTTTGGGTTCGGGTCAGGCTGGCAAAACTTTTTTTGAATAATTTTGTGCTGGGCTAGGCTTTAAAAATTAAACCTGATGCAGATCACTACTGTATATTTTTGTCAAGGACATTTATGCCTAGGATTTGGGGCAACACCAGGATCAAAGCAGAGCCCTTTAAATTGAAGTTATTCATATTCATTTTTTAAAATACTTTCTGAGAAGCTAATTGAGATCTTCCTAATATTGTACCATCCTTTGCCATTATTTTGATACCTGCTTTTAATTCTGGATATCTCATAGATATCAAATTTACAATGTTTGCCAATGCTATTATAAAATATTTACTAATACCCATTATAATAATAATACCTACAGTTACAAATGGAATAAATTTATTAAAACTTTTGCCATATTTAAGTTTTTTAATTTTTCGTTTATATATAGAATCTAGGCCTATATAAATGCTTACATTATTGTTTTGAAAACTTATACCTATGGCAATACCAACTGCACTAAATGAGGCTAATAGATAACTAGATAAAAACATGTGTGTTGAATAATCCTGAATAGAATATTGTATATAATTAATCGTATTAAATAAAAAAAACCATAGTGGAGTTTTTATTTGCAAAATTGAATAAAGCATTTTGGGTTTGATTTAGCCATTGAAAAAAAATAATAGGAAAAGATTTGTATAAAAATTGAGTTTTGTGACTTCTTAATAAAAGATTACTATAGGAGTTAGAATGAAAATATAGCATTCCAGATATAATAGGGATTCCACTTAAAATAAAACCACTCATTGTAAATAATGGAAATATTCTTTGATTTGTGTCTGGGTGAATATTTGCTGAAACATATTTATAGGCTTTTTTTATTTCAATCATATCATAGTTAAATTGATTGTTCCTTAACATTGAAGAAGTATCATTTTCATTTAAACCAGAATATTCTTTGTAATCATTTAAAATTTTTATATACTTAAACAGTGATGCCTAATTTATAAATAGAGAAATATTATTTTACAATACATACTTTAGAGACAAATAAAGTTCTAGGGTCAATTATTGATAAATTGTGTAGATACCGAGCAATAAATGTATTCTAACAAAACACTAGATATTATGAATATTCTTTATAATACTTGACTAAATGGATGAACATCTTTTGAACTAAATGGTAATATTTCCTTTATAATCAATGACAAAGAATCAACAGACGCCATATCTTAATAACTTACGTTGAAACTAGTTCTTCCCGTCAAATGTAAATTATTATGTATATTATGTAATTTACATAAAATTTGTAATTGTATTAAGATTGATAATTATAGACATTTGTCTGTTAAACTGTTAAAATATATTCCGGATAACAAAGAATATTTTTTAATCTAGTGTTGTTAAACGGCTAGTTTTCAGCTGATTTTTAAAAATGGCTAACTCAATATTTTATCCAGAAAAATATTATGTAAGTCTGAAGATTCTGCTCATAGAAGGAACAAAGGTCTAGACATGTATTATCGAAATCTCGAGTCTTAGATATTTTTCTGGCTAAAATATTGAGTTAGCCGCTTTTAAAAATCGGCTCACGAGCCGTTTAACAAAACTATTTTAATCATCAGCTGTGATATATTTTACTTTATTTAATCATCAACTGTTATATATTATAATTTATTTTAATCATACCGTTGGCTTAAAAATCTTCCCTTCAAATTTCGTAACGGCTTCATGTAACTAATTATCCGGGGTACAAGTGAGGGGGGCTATGAGCTGTAAGTAGTGTTGTTAAATCGCCTCGAGTTGTGACCCCGACCCAAAGTTCGTATTTTTTTTTCGACTCCGACTAACAGTTGGGCTCGTTTTTTTCGACCTCGACCCGAGTTTAAGCCGAAAAAAAGACCTCGACCCAAAATATGAGTCGTTTTTTCGACTCAGATTCAAACATCGGATCGTTTTTACGACTTCAACCTATTTGATTTTTTTAAAGCAAATGGGTAAAAATATATATTGTAAACATGTTAAGTTAAAATTTCAAGATCAACCCCCCCCCCCCCCGCCCATCTTTATAATTTATTTTTAATTTTTAGCTCTCTTTACAAATTTAAGGATAGGCAGAGCCTATCCGCCAAAAAAATTTAAATTTTTTTCAAAAGTGTTAAATTTGAATCCCTTATCACATTACTTTATAATATATTTTTATAGCCACATAAAAAATGGAGATAAAAAGTTTATTTTAAATATTTTTATATAAATTTTATATCGCCACAACTTTGCTATTAAAGTATAGAAGGTTCACCATCAACAAATATTAGTGATAAATATTTCCATAATAGTAGGTTTTGAGCCAACTCTTAAAAGACTAAACCAAATTTTTAAGCGAAATCTATCATCTTAATCTCGCTCAAGGATTTAAACCTAAGAGATGGCTTAATTTTGAAAAAATATATTCTTGCATCAAGATATCGAATTCTTTTAAAATTTAACAAAATCTTATAAATGTATAAATATGATTTTAAAATTTTTAAGTAATTAATTGTTAAGATACTTTAAAAGAATTAATAAATTAGCCCATTTTCGGTTTCCTTATGCCAATCAGCGTCTACATGACCGAAGGGGGGATGGTACAATTTGTTTCAAATTTTTTTAAGGGGGTAGGCATTTAAGGGGTAGGCTAGGCGTTAAAATGAATTGGGAGTTATTAACCAAATTTTTAGATGTAATAGGAAAAAATACATGCACTAAAAAAATATAATATTATAATAAATACTATGATATTCCTAAACATCAATCTATATATTGCATACAATCATAGTCATTATTTTCCAAATAAAACTTATTTCTGGATAGTTTTTGCTATCGTTATAAATGCCATCCTAAAAGGTTGGAGATTCTATTAGCAAACTCATATTTATATTATATCATACAATATACTATAATAATGCATTCATTGTATGAGGTTTTTTTATTTATTTAATCCATAATATAAATAATAACCATTTTTCATTCATAATTTTTTGGTAGCTTGTATTAGAGCATCGATAATTTAAATTATTCTATATGTATTATATGAAGGTAGTACATTATAATTAAAAGTGTGTATAATGTTAGCGTAGGCCTAGCCAGGGAGGTTGGCAAGAGGAACCCTCTTTCAGTAATATATCATATCACTTTTTGTGAATATCATATTAAGCTAATAATAAATATCCGCCTTAGTCCTCTCTCTACCCCCTGTCCCCCAAAAATGTATGCATAAATCTTAAAAAAGAATTTGAAAAAAAGAATGTAAAAATTAATAATTTTTTAAACAAAAACTTTTTTGGGAAAAAAACATTTATATATAAAAAAAGTGAAACCAAATTTTAAGAAATGAAATATAAGCCAAAGATAAGTTTTAAGACAAAAGTGAAATTTATTATAATTAATATTAATAGATACATAAAATTACTAAATAATATAATATATCAAATATAATTTTATATAAAGTGAATAACTTTAAAATACTTTTCTTAATAAAAGTAAAATTTAATCATAAAATTATTGATAAAATTAAATTATAAATTAAGTAAAAAAATTAAAACACAATGCAAACAATAGAATATTTCGTAGATTTACAGTATCTCATTTTATTATCCTATGACAGTCAAATAATTTATATCAATAGTGAATTATATATTTTATAGAAGATCATAGAATATTGATATGGACATCATATAACATCTTTTAAAGAAATATTTAAAAATAATTCTATAATATTATAATTTACACTACATCATCGTGACGTAGTGAGGACATCGCTACGTAATGCTATCATTACGTATTTATTTATTTATTTTTATTATTATTTATTCAAATCATTCTATTCTAAATTATTGTGCAAGTAAATTATATTATATTGAAACAAATTATATATATGTATTTTAAATTTCTAAATTAGTGTGCAAGTAAATTATATTATGAATCCTAAATTAGTGAGCAAGTAAATAATATTATATTGAAACAAATTATATATATTTTAGATTTCTAAATTAGTGTGCAAGTAAATTAAATTATGAAACAAATTATATATATGTATTTAGATATCAAAAAATAAAAATAAATATCAAATCATTCTATTCTAAATTATTGTGCAAGTATTATATCATATTGAAACAAAATATGTATATGTATTTTAGGTATCAAAAAATAAAAAAATATATATATAATATATTTTATGAAAATATTTTCCATTCTTTTCTTTCTTCAGTAAAAATAGGAATATTTTATGGATAATATATAAATCGATTTTAAATAAGCATTTATTTATGTTATTATTATATCTATTTTATTGATAATATATTAAAATTTTTAAGCATAATATTTATTTAAACATAATATCCATTTAGACCTCGATCTCACATGATAGTTATATCAGACAATAGGTTTTTAAATTTCCAAACAGTGGATATTAATCCACTACACTGAATTTGCTCTTTAAAGGGTATTAATATTAGCTGACTCCTCTACAGGTTTTATTTCAATAAAAATAATAATAAGGTCTATTTATTATTTCCTTTTTTCTTTTCCCTTTCACTGTTAGTTTTCCCCCTTTTATCTTTACCTTTCAATTTTTATAGGGTTATTAAGATGCTGATTTGGGTCGATTTACAATAACGACCCCTATTAATATTTTAGACAAAATTTTATATAAGCCTCGAGATTTGGCAATATATAGGTCCAAACATGTTTTCCATCTTCGAGCAAAAGCTTCAATTTTACATATTATTTTGGGGTGGGTCTATTTATCGCTCGGCTAACCGCATAATAAATCATTTATTACTAAATATCGCTCGGCTAATCGCATAATAAATCATTTATACTAATTATCGCTCGGTTGAGAAATGTCGCTCGGCTAACAACACAATAAATCATTTATTACTAAATATCGCTCGGCTGGAAAATGTTGCTCGGCTAACCACATAATAAATCAAATTCTAGACTAGTGACATAATAAATAATTTATTACTAAATATCGCTCGGCTGAGAAATATAGCTCGGCTATAAATAATCCTGTATTTATATATTATATTTACTATCATATTCTAAGTGAGCTTTCATTTTCTTAATATTAATTGAGTATTATTAATTTTTATATATAAAATAAGTGTTAGGTATAAAAAAATTTCTATTAGATATTTAAGCATCAATACTTTTATAAAATTAAATTTAACCATAATCCTTATTTTTTATAAAAGTAATAAAAATAATATTCTATCCGCTAGATGGCGTCAATATTATTAATTTTTTTTAAATAAAAATAATAAATGGATTTAATATATTTTTTTTAAATATCTAAATACTACCAAGTTAGCCTCCTAAATCAACACACCCACTTAGTAACTTGACCCAATCCACGTCATGTACGCAACCTTCTTCCACTGTACTAAGTTTGAGAATGTTCCTACCTATCAAAAGTGAAATAGTAAGTATAATCACATTCTGTTTCAGATATTATAGCTTCAATACATTTATAAAATAAAATTTACTCATTTTTTTACATTCATGATAGTAAAAAAAAAATATTTTTCTATCCTCTAGACGAAATTTTTTTTATCATTTAAATTAAGAAAACAAAAATTTTGGACTGGTCTATTTTAACTTATTCTACCAAGATGCACTAAAATGTCTAACGGTGTTTTTTATTGTATTCTTTTCTATATTTTAGTAAATTAATTAGTAGTCTTTTTTAAATTTTACCATTTCCATTGATCAGAGTAATTCGAGTAATTCTTTTTATTGATGCATCATTATAAATCATAATTTTACGATATATATATATATAATAATAATGCTGTTATAATATAAGTGATTATTTATATAAAATATAATTTATTCGGCATCGGCGAAGAGAGGATTAAAATATATATTTAAGATAATATAATTATATATATTGACGAAATAAATAATATTAGTTATTCTATAAATTTAAGAAAGGGGCCCTTCGAAGGTCGGGACAAGTTAACTTCACTATATTATAAACCTAATTATGTATATTGATGAAATATATCTGTTACTTTAATGGGTGAAGGGCATGCGAAAATCAGGAAAAAATAGGGAATTAAAATTTATAAAAAATATTTTCATAATTGCGAAATTTAAAAAATATTAAGTAGTGAGTTCATAAATGCATTCTAAATATATTAATGAAGTGAAATAATAAAATAAATTAACGATAAGAAATAAAGCATTAAAAATATAAATGTAGGACCTCTAAGCG